AATATCTTAATTTCATTGATTTTTTGCCAAAAAAACAATTGCCAATTTCTCAAAACTATTTTAATCTAAAAATGTCTATATGTATAGTATTTTCTTTGTATAACAATTTACACCTTAATTCTAAAAGTTTAAATAATATAATCATTTTCTAATTATCCATCTAATGTGGCGTATACAGGAATTTTCAGGGAGGGCTTCACCTTTAGTGTTATTCCAAGGGGACCTAATCCCCCCTGATGATTATAAATTATTAATGATTATAAATAGCCCAGGAGAAATAAAGTTAATGAAAAAAAGAAAAAAAAAATAAGATCAATATATGATTATGTAATGTTCTACATTGTCATGTTTGTTTCTAGTTCTCATCTTTTAACAATATTTCTTTCTAACTTTTCAATATATTATTCATAACTTGCTGCAGGAGGACAACATGCAGGCAAACTTCAGTCGAGACGCGTACTCAGGGGGGGGGGCTATGGGGCTTAGTCCCCCACCCTTCTGGACCGATGAAATCTTTGGATTTCAGGGCTTTTCAAAACCCAACAGATGATAAGCCTCCTCCCCTCTGGAAAGAAAGAAAAAATTTAAGCCTCGGCCCTGGCCAAATTCCTGAACTTTACCATGAAGATTTGTATCTTATAATTAGATTAAATTTAATGCAAAACAAATATTTTTTGGAGTGATAAAAAGATCTAGGTTTATAGTTAAAGGATGATGGTGGCATAAAATTCATTGAATGTGAAGATTTGTTTTGAAATCGAAAATATTTTATCTTAAGATATGTTTTTTGTTTTGCCAAAAAAAAATCAAGTTTCCAAAGTATGGTTTATAGATATTGTGATCATTTTTCATTGAAATTTATAAAGTTCATAAGCTGCAGGGCTGTAACTGGGGCCAGGGGGTCAAATTTAAGGAAAATTAAGTGTTTTTGACTGTGTAAGAAGTCTTTGCCCCCCCAGGGAGCTCGGGAAACCAATTTTAAACCAAACCAAGAACATTCCCGTGGTTTTACTATGAAATTTGAGGAAAATCGTTGAAGGGTTTCATCAGCTCAAACAGACAAACAGAGATTTATAAAAACATAGCGAGTTTCCAAATCAAAATCTGATGCAAATCGGTCCAGGGGTCTCTGAGTTATGATCGGACAAACAAACAGATAGACAGAGATTACAACTTTATATATGTTTTGTATAAAGACTAGATATTTTTTGATTTTTAAAATAAAAATACATTTATTATTTTTTCTTTGCAGTTGATTTGATAACGTATCATCTTCTATGTGCCGACAAAAGTATAATATCGCTATTATTTTTTCTAAATTTGAACATACTGTGACAAAAGATAATTATAATAATGAACTAAAACAATTACAATAACTTTACATATAAAGCACAGTGATAACCAGAAAACTCTGAAATAGGAAGATGACTATTAAACTCAAGTTAGGACTTAAACTAGTTCAATGAACATTAGACATAGCAATTGTACAGTGTAAATAGACCCATTTCACTAAAATTATGCTTTGCTAAGTTACTAGTGTAAATATTTGCTTTGTAACAACATCAAAACGCTTAAATATTGTTATAATGTCGTCTTTCTATGCTGGTTATCACTGTATAGAAATCTCTTTTTGTTTGTTTGTATGTCCAATCATAACTCATGAACCCCTTGGCCGATTTGCCTCAAATTCTGATTGGGGAAATTGGTAAAACCGCAAAAATATTCTTTTCATGGTTTAAAAAGTATACATTCGGCTTTTAGTTCTGGCAAAGCTGGGTTCCCAAGCCATAGTATAACATAGATTTATATTTATATATACATTCTTTTTTATCTAAACTAAAAATTAAATATAAATATCCACAAACCGAAACCAGATATACTTTCATTTCCTATAGATATATTGCAATTTGTAAGGTTTTTTATTTAAACTTATTTGTCTCAATTTTCGTATATTCTTTTTAATTCAAAAATATTTTTCAATTGTTTCTAAAATTCCCCGGGCACTGCAGCTGGTATATGTTTCTAATTTAACTGATATATATATATATATATATATATATATCCTAGTATTGATATAATATAATTCATTTAAATATAAAGTTGTTTATTAACAAATTTTTCAAGTTTTCAAGATTTAATAAGAAAATAACACAATAAGCAATAATTGGTCTCAAGGAGTAACAATTTCGTTTAATATCTATTTCATGATTTGAAGGTTAACACTAAGCGGGTGTACCGAAAAAAACGTGTATCATGCTCAGCTGCTTTATATCATTTCAAAATCAGAAATAAAAATATGACACATTTGTCAAGAAATTGTAACAATTCCATATGAATTCAGTGTTTTAACTCAATATGAACATTATTTTACGGAATTCAATTTACTTTTTGAACTAACTGTTCCTGCAGTTAAATGGGAGTGCCGTGGGTATAGATACAGGGATGTTTATTCTTCTCTAAAACTTTAAAATATTTTATCTTTAAATTCAACCAAATATTTTTAAAATTGTTATTGAAAATGTATATTTTCCGCTCATTTTTTATGTTCCTAGAAAAGTTCAGATATAGATCAAAGCTCTGATTTTCCTTATCCTTAAATCGGCAATATTTCGAAGAATATTTTGAATAAACTTTATACTCAACTTTGATCAAAGAAAAAGAATGGGGGAACCCCTGACTAAAGATGGTTTTGAAGATTAGTAGTCCAGACCTTCTTGTCATGGTGGGACTTCTCCGTGAGATCTATACCCCCCTCTCTAGGGGAGGCCATGCGCCACATGCCCCCCGCTCACCATTTCTTTGGGGGCACCGTTCCCCACTCTCTACAAGAAAAATGATAATTTCGATTCTAATTTTACTCAATGTTAATTTTCAACCAGTTTTATCTCAGGTTTTCTTTTTTCTTTTAATTTCAAGTCTCCGTTTTAATATCTTAATTTCATTGATTTAGTTCTCATTTACAATTGATCAATTCTCAAATCTTCATTAATTTAACTTTTCCTTTATTCATTAAACAATTAATTCTTTTATCTTATCAATTAAATCAATTCTCATCTCTCATTAATCAATTTATATCTCATTAATCAATTCATATCTCATTAATCAATTCATATCTCATTAATCAATTCTTATCCCTCATTAATCAATTCATATCTCATTTATCAATTCTTATCCCTCATTAATCAATTCTTATTTCTCAAAAATCAATTCATATTTCATTAATCAATTCAAATCTAATTAACTCAACAATCAAGTCTCATTTTTCATTAAATATTTCTCATTAATCAATTCTAAATTATTTATTATAAATCAATTTTCATTTTCATTGATCAATTTTCTTTCCTCATTCATTAATTTTCACATATCTCAAGAATCAATTTATAACTCATCAATCAATTCTGATTTGACTATATCTCCTTCTGTACTTGAAACTGATCAAGGTCATAATGCAAGGAAAGTTAGTTGCAGTTGGGTCTACTCTGCGTACATGATAAAACCAGTTCTCTCTGGGCGGAATTTGTAAACAAAAATAGATGCATCTGTGTTCGTTTAGTATCCGAGGAGTATAAAAGCATTAAATTTTGATAATTTTGATAATTCACATAATAGTTTCCTATGACCAGAATATTTTATTGATTTTTTATGTGAAAGGTGGATCCCATGTCAAACTTCGACATCCGTCATGTGTTTACATTACCGTCCAGAGACAGTACACTGCAGTACAAAAGATGCGTACACCTCTGAAATAACTTTCCTGTTAAATATTCCTTTGTGATAGAGTTTTTTTCATACTTCAAAAAAAACTTGATGGTTCTCAGAGAAAATACATTTCGATATTTTAAATATCCTTCTAAATTCTAATCAAAAACAACCATATTATTTTATAACAAAAAGATAAGGAAAAAATACATTTAATAACAAATGTTTTTTTAAACAAAACAAAAAAAGGATGGAAAAAGATTTTTTGAATAAAAGTTAATATGGTCAACCTTGAGGTGTAGTATATAAGTTGGAACATAACTTTCCTTGCATTATAACCCTGAACCTGATTAAGTTTTGTTAGGACGGATGCTCCGGGTTCCAGTCTGAGTACTGTAACATGAGGTTGGATAATATCCTCCTTTTAGATTCTAATGTTACAACACCAGCAGAGTGTCAGGTTACGTATCTGTCTTTAACCCCCTTCCCCCCTC